GTGTGTGTGTGTTATTAAGGTATGGATTGTTAAGAACAGTAAGTAGTTTATTACTGAAGATTAAGCTATGAATATGGGAGTGGGGTTGGAGCTGGAGGTGGGGAAGTTAGGGATGCGGATTTGAAGCTGAAGAGAAAGGAAGTTTATCGTTTCGTGTAGGTTCATGTATGCTGCATCTATAGCTCTAGTCTCTATCATGAAGAACATAGGGAGGCATTGAAGGACAGCAATGACTTAGCATGGTTTAGTTCTGATTCAGTCTAAGTATTAATGGCAAGGCCATGGAATATCTTTTGGAAACGGTGTCATAAACATGATTTCATTATTTTGAAAATTCTCAGATTAAATAAAGCTGAGGAAATGTGTGTTTGAAAACCCGAGTTAGCATTATAATATTCTTGCATGTTGTGGAAGTTTGCAGTTGTGAGCTTTTAGAGCTGAATTGAAAAAAAAGAAATTCAATAAAGTCCAGAGCTCTATTTTATGAGATCACTCAGTCACTAGTACACAAATAAATCTCTTATAAGATTGTATTGATCCATGCATCTCTATCACAAGGAAAAATATAGGTTCTAACCGTTTTGATCAATAAAGCAAGTAGTTCTATATAAGCATATAAAAAGGAAAAAGTATGATACATGTATTAATCAACCATAGATTATAAAAGCTTCACCATAGAGCTTGTTTTTCTTTGAGACAATTTACTAAATGCACCATCTCTCAGAAAGTCTAATTATTTTATGTGATTTTTTTTTCTACATTTCAGTTCTGTGAGGAACATTTTTTAATACTTTTTCAGTGCTGTTTGATAATAATACAAAGCTAGTTTCCATACCGCTCCCCTTTAGGGAGTATAGTCACACAGTTTTAATTGGTTGCAATCCTTGTAACAGGCTATGAAATAAATATCACTACCCGTTTTAATAAATTAACAAAGTGAAGCCCGAGGGGAAATAGAGATTCACCCGGTATCACTGTACTTGCCTTAGCCCCGTTTTTAAAGGTCAACCAGCCTTGCCTATGCTCTGATAACCAAGAAACTAAACCACAGACCTGCCATTGCATTTGGCCTTCTACAGCGCTACACAACCTGCTCCTATTGTGGGCCAGTTTCTCCCTCCCTAAAACTTGGCTTTGATTCTCAGGTAGATGAAACAGGTATTTACTTTTTAACATCTTCTAAAAAGTAAAATGCATACCCTTCCAATCAACAAATGCTGCTCTTTACTGAGCACTTCCTCATTATTATTAGACATAGTTCTAAGTGTTGTCCATGCGATATCTCATTTAAGACTTATAACCCACGAGGTAGGTCCTTTTATTTTTCTCAGTTTACAAATGAGAAATTTGAGGTAAAATAACTTCCTAAAGTCTGTGCTGTAGGAAGTGGTGGTGCGAAGCTTGAATTTAATCTGTGTCAGTCTGACTTGTTGGCTCATAACCTTGCCAACAATTCTTCTCCCTTTCCTTTCCATGGCCACTATTGTAAGAAATGATTCCCAATCTTATCAAAGTTCCTTTGGAGTACCTACTAGTATAGGAATCATCACTGTCTCCACTTGATCTCCTCCAGCTCTGCCTATGAAAGCTTATTTAGTTAGCCTCTTCTAGCATTCTGAGAACTTGGCAAGTCCAGTCTAACTGGGAGATCTTCTCTGAGGAGCATTCAGTTGGTCTTAGTAGTAGTATCTTACTAATCTCATTCTTCTGGTTCCCTGGCAACCCGAGTCTAACTTTGATTGACAATTACTCAGGAATGGAGAGCTGGCCTTTTTCTCTGATGACTGGGTAATTTTCTTTTAGAAAGTTATGGAATGATCATGAATTTTGCACTACTGCGATACCATTTCAAAGGTCAACTCAGCCATTTACTAGTTGTATGACTTTTGTTAAGTGATTTAAACTCTTTAAGCTTCATTTTATCATCTGAATAATAGGTATATAATGTATTTCTCATTGGGCTTCTTGCCAGTTCAAACTAAATAATGGATATAGAGGGCATTAGCATAATGCCTCCTATATAGTTAACATTCAGTAAACCTGTCTTGTTAAAATTCTTAACCCTATCTCTCCAGGCCAATTCTTTCTTCTGGAGTCCAGCTCCTTCATGTCTGGATTCTTCTACTTGCATGCTAGTGTTTCCATGCCTGGGATTTCCCATTTGTTTCTATGATACTGATTTTCTTCTTATCTGGATCTTTGCCATTAATCCTTCCCAGGCAAAAATTAGACTTAGTTGGAATTTAATAACAAACGTGTGATTCCCATCTTCTGTGGGCTGGTTTTGAACTTACAAACAACTTTTAAGCTTTAGTCCCCACTCACCTACAAGTAGAATCATGCACCCTAGGCTTGCATCCATACCCAGCTTCGCATCTTCCCTCTTCCCAAACTCAAGTGGTATTGCCAAAGACATATTTATAGCATACTAAGTATTTTCAAATTTGCAATCTCATTTGATTCATGCAATAAGTCAGTTGAGGAATTGTAACTGGTCAAATGAAGAAATGGAGACTTTCCTTTTAAAAATAACATTTAGTTGAACCATATGAAATTGCTGATATTTGAGCATTATTGGCCTATGCAAACAGTTTCTTATGATTCAATCTAATACTTACCTAAATATGTAACATATGAGTTCTTTTTCTTAAATAGTCTTGGTTCTTGAAATGCATCAAATGAGGTACATGTAAATGTCACTCTTCATTCTGACATTATGCTATTGGCCACACTGAAATGAGAGAAGCCATCTTTAAGCTTTCTCCTTTGGCACAAAGGGTGGGATTCTATGGGACAGATGCTGCCTTGACATCATCAACTGACACAACATGAAAGCTCCTCAGTTTCTTCCTTCTCTCTAGAACTCAAAAAGCTAAATTCCTGGTCATGCTTGGAAGGTGGCCTTGATCTTCTTACTGGTGTTACATCCATTGATTCTTCTTGAGTTATGTGTTCAGTAGAAGACTGGTAACCTTTTGTGGAAACTTATAAATCCAATATATCCCTCTTAGCACAATGACTGACACATTATAGCTGCTTAATAAATCTTGTTAACTGAATTGACAAATTGCCTGAAATAATTTATCAGGTACTACATAATGAATAGTATATGTATATTAAATGTTCATTTTTTTCTCTTTGAGAATAGTTGACACGCAATGTTACACTAGTTTCAGGTATACAACATAGTGATTCAGTAGGTTTATATATAATATTGTGCTCACCACAAGTGTAGCTACCTTTTGTCTCCATACATGGCTATTAGAATATTGTTGACTATATGCCTTATGCTGTCCTTTTATACCCCCTTAATTGATACATTCCATAAGTGGAAGGCTGTATGTCCCACTCCCCTTAACTCATTCTGCCCAATACCTACCTCCCTTCCCTCTGGCAGCCATCAATTTGTTCTCTGTATTTATAGGTTTAATTTTGCTTTTTGTTTGTTTATTCATTTTTTTTAAGATTTCACTTGTAAATAAAATCATGTGGTATTTGTCTTTCTTAGTCTGACTTATTTCACTTAGCACAGTATACTCTAGGTCTCCATGTTGTCTCAAATGATACAATCTTGTCCTTTTTATGACTGTGTAATATTCCATTGTGTGTGGTAATATATGTGTGTGTGTGCATGTATGCATGACATGCACACATGGCATCTTTATCTATTCATCTATTGATGGACACTTAGGTTGCTTGTCTCTAGTCTACTGTTAAAAATGGGAACAGAGGGACGCCTGGGTGGCTCAGTTGGTTAAGCAGCTGCCTTCGGCTCAGGTCATGATCCCAGCGTCCTGGGATCGAGTCCCACATCGGGCTCCTTGCTCATCAGGGAGCCTGCTTCTCCCTCTGCCTCTGCCTGCCATTCTGTCTGCCTGTGCTTGCTCTCTCTCTCTCTCTCTGACAAATAAATAAATAAAATCTTTAAAAAAGAAAAAATGGGAACAGAAAAAAAGGAACTTGAAAGTAAATGGTTTTTGAACTTTATTCATTGAGGTATCTTCCTATATGAAATCAACAATCTCATGTTACCCTTAGAACATCAATTTTTCTCAAAATAGATAAAATAACATACACCAATGAAACTGTGCCTTGGGCACTTAAAAGTGGTTAAGTGTTTTAATGATTCATAAGCACTACTCAAAAATATTGTTGAGAGACTCAGAATGCAAAGAATAATTATGATTATATTTGAATTAAGCTCAAAGCTTTTAACATGAAAGAGAAAGATAGTTGTTCTGTGAACACCCCTTCGCAGAAGTTGTTATCAAAGATGCATGAAAATGTACTACAAAAATACTGCTCTACCTTTAGTTTGCAGAAACCACCGGGTGCCTCTAAACTTCCTTTAAAAGATGTCATTCAAATGATTTCTAAAATCTTGTTGGTAAGTGTGGTGTTTGGTGAAGAAAGCAGAAGTTTTTAATCTGTCATTATCAAACCAATTTTAATGTATAAGATTTCACTATATATACTCCATATTGAGGTGAAACACCCTAAATAATTGTGTTTTATGGGGCTATAGTGTCCTTTGTATACATTTTTAATGTTCTAGCAGTAATGTGACCTTTCTACTGTTCTATGGGTAAAACAGTAAACGTTTTCCTCAAAATTTTATGAAAATTTTAAACATACAGCAAAGTTGACAGAACTTTACAAACAACTGTGTACTCAGCCATCTATATTCTCCTATTAACATCTTACTGTGTACTTCCTTTATCACCTACCTAACCTTTTACGTATTAATCCATTTTATTCTTAATGCATTTTAAAGCAAATTGCCAACATCAGTACACTTCCCATGAATACGTAAATATAATACTTTATGTAAATACTAAATACTTAAGTATTTAATACTTAATATTTAACATTAAATATTTAATACTTAAATACTTAAACAGCACTAAATACTTAAAGAGCACAGCTATAGTCAATATTTGTTTGGAGGGTTTTTTTTTTTTAGGTGAAACTTACATACAATGAAATAAAAATATCGTGCATATTTCTGAGTTTTGACAAATGTATACAACTGTGTAACACAAGACTTTATTCAAAATATCATACATTACCATCACTCCAGAAGATTGCCCTTTGCCCTTCACCTGTCAGTCCCATCCTTCCAAAGACAGCTGTAGTTCCAATGCAACTCTGATGTGTGGTCTAGAACTTCGTATTAATGGAATCCATTCCAAGAGTATGGACTCTTTTGTGTAAGGCCTCTTTGACTCTGCATTTTTTTAAGATTTATCTCTGATATTGCGTGCATTACTGGTCTTTTCTATCGCTAAGTAGAATGCCATTATATGAATATGCTACACTTTGTTTACCTAGTTAATTATCCTATTAATGAATGTCTAGGTATTTCCTGTTCAGTTTGGTTTCATTTTACTATTCTGAATCAATGCACTATGGACATTTATGACCAAGTATTCTTGTGAAAATCTGCTTTCATATAATTTCCCTAAATATTTAGAGGTAGAACTTCTGAGTCATAGGAGAGATACATGTTTAAGTTTTATGAGAAATAATCAGGTTATTTTATAATCCCACCAACAATATATGAAAGTGATGGTTGCTACATCTTCATAAAAATTAGATGTTATCAGTCTTCTTAATTTTTACCAATCTGGGGTATGTATGGTGGTATCTCCTTTTAATTTTCATTTCCCTGATAACTAATGATGTTGAGTAACTTTCGTGCACTTATTGGCCATTCGAATATCCTTACTTGAAATACCTCTGTACAAATACTTTCCAACTTTTAATAATTGAGTTGTCTTTTTATATTACTGACTTGTGGAGGACTTCATATATCTTTTGTATTAGTCCTTTGTCAGATATATTTTGCAAGTATTCTCTCTCTGTGATTTGCTTATTATTCATTTTAATAGTGTCTTTTGGTGAGCAGAATTTTGAAACTTTTGATATTTATTTTAAATGTATTTGATGTTTATTTTAAACTCTTGATGTTAACTTATCAGTGGTGATTTATGAGGTCCTAAGACTTCTTTGCCTACCTCCATGTCACAGCCATTTTCCTATGCTTACTTCTTTAAAAGCTTTATGGGCTTAGCTTTTATATTTAGGTCTGTGGCCAATCTTAGATTATTTTTTATGTGTAGTGAGGTAGGTAGTGAGGTAGGTTTGAGCATTTTGTTTTGTCTGTGCAGTTATTTCAGCACCAATTTTGAAAATATTTTCATTTCCTTATTGTGTTGCCTTGGCATCTTTGTTGAAAAGCAGATATCTATTTAAGTGTATGTTTATTTCTGGACTCCTCTTTTTGTTCCATTTATCTATATGTCAGTTCTTTTGCCTATAGTATACTACCTTGATTACTATAGCTTTACAGGTCTTGTAGTGAGATAGTATAAGTCTTTCAAATTGGTTCTTTTTCAAGATTGTGTTGGGTAATATAAGTCCTCTTATTCTAATAGACCATTTAAAAAGTAAATGCCTGTTTTACCCTATTGGGAGGCATAACAGGGCGTGGAAAAGAATATTCACTTTAATACTTTCTAAAATAACAACTCAGTTTTTGGTTTTCTTTAAATGTCTCCATGTCTGAACTTTTAACTTGAGTTTTATCATTAATGGGTTGGTCATCTCAAGAAAATGCAGGGTTTCAAATATTTCCAGAGAGGGTAGATATTCTTTGAAAGTTCCTAATAAGGAAAAAAAAAAAAAGTTCCTAATAAGATACATTTCAATTATTCAAACATAATTTAAAATTAAAGTGCATTTCAATTATTTAAACATGATTTAAAGCAATGAAATATGTAAAACTTCTCAGAGGTTGAAAGTAACATGATTTCTGTATAGAAATGGATACATGAGACTTCTGATTGCATGAATGTGCCCGTTCTTGAAATGTTCATGGGTATCTGGACTATTTCTTATTTATCCTATACTCTGGTAACCCCTAAAATGCCTGGTAGTTGTCTATGGACTTAATTTATCAGTGTGTTGTTTATTTTCATTGCTGAACCTGAAAGAAGATGCCATGTAATCTTCATGAAACTGGTGGGAGAACCATGGTTGTGAATGAGACATGTTTAATTCTGGCACCTATAGGTATTCAGTGTGTTTTCGTAGCTGCTGTTGATGAGGGCCCCAAATCTTTTAAACCTTCTTAACTACTACATACATTGAGAGGTTGGATGTCTGCTATTATTTTAGACAATGTGATTATTTTTTCTTTTTAGGCAAATGTAGTTTATCTTAAACCAAATGAGATGAGTTGCAACTCTGGTCGACATTGTTTAAAATTTGTCTTGAGGTAATGTTTCAGATGTTGGTGGCTAATACCTCAGAATGTATATTTTAGGGGCACCTCCGTGGCTCAGTTGTTAAGTGTCTGCCTTTGGCTCAGATCATGATCCCTGGGTCCTGGGATCAAGCTGGCATGGGGCTCCCTGTTCGGCGGGAAGACTGCTTCTCCCTCTCCCACTCCCCTTGCTTGTGTCCCTTCTCTATCTCTCTCTCTCTCTCTCTCTCTCTGTGTCAAATAAATAAATAAAATCTTAAAAAAAAAAAGAATGTATATTACATATTACATTGCCACTGCTTTAAAAAATCATCTACATGAAGCACAAACATAAAACGCATATCAGAAAAGTTTATTACAGAATTATGAAGCATCCATTTTCATTATTACTGATATCTGAGCTGATAACCCTAGAGTTTGTTTATAAACATAGTCATAAAATCTCAAAGCTTCCATAGGACTGCTTTTTGTTTAGGAGACTGCATAAAATAAGAACTTTCCTCAAGTAAAACTATCTAATAATGTTCTAGAACTTTAGACATTATGTTCTGAGATCAAATTGTTTTTGATAATGGATTGTGAGGTTACATTTTTCCTCTTGCTACCAGTCTAACAGAGGGGATTTAAGTTTCCTCATTAGTGGTAGGAGTCAGAGTCTTAGCACTGTTTCTTCCTGCCAATATCTTTAATTGCTGTTTGTTCTTACTGAGACCAAAATTTCTTGTTTGTCATCAGGTTCCCTTTGAAATTAAAATGGTTTCACACATCTCAATTTGACTTCATTTGGGTCTGCTATTGTTCACTATATTTCTACTAAACTCAATTTCTAATGATTTCTCTTTGATCACCGTTTTATTACTATTTGTGAGCAAAGCCTCTCAGAATTGGTTTAAAACCCTGTCTTGTCTGCTTTATTTTCAACAAAGGTATCTACAGATCTTCCCATTAGCTCTCCGTTATTCATCAAGTAAATTTAAATCTAAATGCTAGTAAGTAGATTTTTGTTAGCATTCTTTGGAATAAAACCTTGAAGAAATGTGCCTCCAGTGTATTATTCTGATTTTTAAAATTCAGACTCTAAAATCCTGTGTTTTCACTTAAGAGCCTGGGAATTGCCAGTTTTCAATTTGCTTAGGTGGGATTTTAGTTATGAGAAATGTAGACCCATGGAAAAGTGCTTTTTAATCAGTTCTTGAAATCAATATGGCAATAAAGCAATACATGAGAAATAAATTATTTAAAAAAAAAAAAACCTTATAAGATGACGACCATGGAGCATTCGAGCTGATTTCATATTTACGTGAGGTATTTTTTTTTTTTAAAGACTTTATTTATTTATTTGACAGAGAGAGAGATCACAAGTAGGCAGAGAGTCAGGCAGAGAGAGAGGGGGAAGCAGGCTCTCTGCTCAGCAGGGATGCTGAGGCAGATGCGGGGTCGATCCCAGGACCCTGAGATCATGACCTGAGCCGAAGGCAGCAGCTTAATCCACTGAGCCATCCAGGCGCCCCTAGGTGAGGTATTTTATCACTTACACTAAATTATTCTGTTTAGGAAACCCTATACAGCTTTTGGTAAAGAACCACTTTCCTCAATTTTCTATGTTAATATAGTCTACTTTAGACCAGTATTTCCCAAACCTGTCATTAATTTGCATTGTTTATTATTTTTTTGCCATATCCTGACCTATATTTATTTTTTAATTTAAATTGATCTCAAATCTCATCGCAATTCATCTGAGCCTTAAACTATGAAATTATAGATTGATGCACATTAAGTACATATTTAGCTACTAAGATTTAAATTGGTATCTACCATATCACCTAGAAATCATGTTTTCCACTAGTGACACAGGTATCTGTTTAAGAAAAAAACTTTTGGTTTCCTGTGTGACCTGTATAAATATGGATATTTGACAAGACCTGTTTCTATTAACCTGGGGTCGAATGAAAAGAAATAGAGGTGTGGAGACTCAGGCAGTATGTTCAAATTCTTTAGTTAGTTTAGTCATAGCAGGAGGCAATCATGAGGCTTTGTGTTGGTGGAGAAGAGTTGGAAAAAGACTTGACTTTGATATTCTCTATAACATGGAGCAAGCTACTCAAATCATCTGATCTTCCATGTTCTACACCTGTTACAGATCTACAGTTATTTGAACTGGCCAGTATTGGTCAGAGATAGCAGATCATTTGGTAGAGGTGATCAGGACATTCTCTAACACATGGATATCAGTCATGTTTGACATTCAGCTGGTGCAACGGTAGGACTAAATAGATACCATCAATCCTTTGGTGTATGCCTTACAGCAGACAAAAAATGGCAGGATTCAGCTCTGTTATGTTTATGGCTTTATAAGATAAACTACTGGCTAAGTGAGTACTAAATAAAATGAAACTGGTAATATTTTAACTTTCCTCATTTATTTGCCTCTAATGCTTTTGGTCTTTTATACTGTGGTTCTGACTTCACAGATTTTGAGTGTATCTGAGCTTTACATGGACTATGTATGCCCTTAAAACTATAAGTATTTCTGTAGAATGTGAACATTTTTGTATATTACCTAATAGAATTGCTTAATGGAATACCTCTTGAAATCATCTTATTTGCTTTGCCCTCATGGAGATAACATGGTGTACTAAACAGGTACACTGAAACCAAGAAGACTGCTCTTCCGAGCAGCAAGTTCTGTTACACATGGAAGAGGGATCCAGTATCTTGGATGTTATATTTCTTCCCTCTTACTTCTTCTAGTGAATCACTCATTTAGATAAGCCTGCTGTGTTTATCATAAAATGATTATTTTAAGTGAATTTTGGTATTTCCTAAGGAAGTTTTTTCTCTACTCTTCATTATGTGAACTCACAGTTGGTTACATTTTGTGGGATGCTTTGGTGAAAGAACACATTATTCTATGCCAATTCTAGGTGCAACCAGAAAACTGTGTTCACTTTTCTTTAAAATTTACAGTGTCTTATATATTAAAACAATATCTATGTTCAAAATCACTTCCCTTGACTTTCCCATGCAATTTAATAACTTACACCAACAATGGGAAACTTCATACAATACCACACAAAAGAATCTTAATTGGGGCTGTTCTGGTTTTGTTTGTCTGATTGCTTCTTTTTTCTTTTTTGCAACTAACATCTTACCATTTTTCAAAGTATGTCTTTATTTGCTGATTTGATTCACAAATTTGCAGGATCTTTGAACAGGTACTTGTCCATTCCCTCTGTGTGATTCCAATTTTTATACATCTAGCTTTACTACTCAGATACTTGCCAAGTGCAATCTCCAGCTCTTTTAGTCTATAAGAAGCTACACTAGAAGAGATGTGTGACCTGCATTCATCGTACTATGATTTTTTTTTTTTACCTCACTGAAATTCACTAAAAACAGAACCTATTTTCAGCCATTCCTTATTTCAATCTGCATTCCTTGCCTGAATCACTGTAATAAAATAGTACAAAACAAATTTTGATGGGCAATTTCATCACAGTCCATCTGTTCGGTTATGCTGTGTGGCAGAAACCTAGGCTTAGGTTAGATGCTGTCTAAGGCATCTCTCCTGCTGCTCATAGGACTGCCTTACTAAAGTGTGAAGAATCAAAACAACAAGGTATTTCATTTGCTTCTATCACTGTTGTTTGACTCCCTCCCTCCTGCCCCTTTACAGTGGGCCTACAGCAGCCATCATGTAGCTAGTGGCACCAGAGATGGGAGTTCAGATGGAGTTGGAACTAGGCCAGGTATCCTGCCAGAGGTGGTCATGAGGACAGAACATTGGTGGGATGAGTCCAAGCTGTACCCCACTAGGGAGAACAGATTCAGATGGTAGAGAGACCCATTATATACTCCAGGTTCAAACAAGAGGGATAACTAAAGTGAGGGTTCAGAGCCAAGAGTGAGCAGGTAGGCAGAGACCAGACCTACACTGGAGCTTGTCGTAGTCCAGCAAAGAGGACTGCTGCTGGGAGCCATTGTGCCCGGGACTGCCGTTTACCAAACGGAGGGCTCCTGAGATTGAAAGATCATGAAAATATTGACAACTACCTTGGTACTTGAAGGCTAAAACTAGGCCATGCTGAAACTTACGGCTTTCTCCTTACTTTTCTGGTAAAATTCCTCAGATCTCCTACTCAAAGGAAGGGAATCTGCTTGTGATTCATGGGTCACTTGTTCTTCCTCCAGAATGGCCTTGCACATTTTATTATATTTTATTTGAATGTAAATGCAATTACTGAGCAGTAAATAATGATTTTCCTTACCCATTGATTACTTAGTGCATGTTGATGCATTGATTTGTACAAGTCCAGCTTAAAATGGAGCAGATGGGTATGTAAAGGTTTATTCAAAATCAATGTGAATTAGATTGCTGCTCCCCAGTAAAATGGATTG